TGGAACTGCACTCCAGCGAAGCCTCAGCTCCCTCTGCTCACCTGCTGCTATTCCATCTCTGTTCCCATTCCTCTCTCTCCCTCTCTCTCTTTTCTACACTCCTTCTTTCTCACTTTCACCCTTCTTCCCTGCCTGTTCAATGTCATGATTAGTATGCTAAGAACCAGTAAAGCTTTACCTGGACATCAGTCACTCAGACAATCAGTCAGCTGTCTCACTGTCAGTCAGTCTGCTGATCAGCCCCCAAGCTCACACTCTTGTTGAATTGCTCATTCAATTGCTCGGTTGATCGCCCAGCCACCAACTCATCTTTTTATTTTTCACTATTAATTTCTTATTTTACCATCACTTGCCTCACTATCCTCTCCAACATGCATGTATTATGCCTGGGAATATAGAGGAAACAGGGCCAAGATACTCTTTTTTGTTTTCCTCCCCAATTGAAAAGCTGGCTTCAGCTTCACTAAAAAGCCATAAGTGCTTGTCTGAGCAACTGCTCAAAGTGCTGTCTAGGATATAGAAACAGCTTGAAGTGATAGGGATATTTGAGCAATATGAGAAAGTCGGAAGGCATTGATTTCTTTTTGCAGTTCCTAGCTTGCGATTACAATTTGAAATAAACTGTATAATTCACACAACACTTCCAGCCAGATTTTACAAAGTTAATACAGTTACATAGAAATATAACATGTACTGGGCTAACTGGGTTTAATTCTTATTATTGTTTTCACATTATAGCAATTGGATTCATCTGCATGTAATATTGTTACAACAGCAACGATGTTAGCCCTATACTCATAAAGGTGTCCCTTAAACTATGTGACATTTACCTAATTGTATAGGCACTTTTAAGCTGACCGCAGTATTATCAAACATCACATACATTTATTTAACTGTTGCAGTGAGGGTTACGATGAGAGAGATACAGAGTGGTAGGTAAAGACTGATCCCCTGTTTTTCTGATGATTACATTCTGTTCAGGCCCTGTTGCAGGGAAAAGGAGGAATATCAAGCTTCGGCCACAGAATATGAATTTTATATCTGCAATGCAGCCAAGAGGTACTTTCACGTAACAGCCGGCTTGCCTTGGCACTGGACGGTAATGTGTCTGTGCAGCTGCTGGTTTATATAAAATACAACTCATTTTTAGGGATCAGCTTTGAACCGGGTTTCAGACCATGTTTGCCTACATAAATTGAGCATCCCCCTGAGAATGTCGTCCATTTTGATCATGCAGTTGCACATTTATGGGCTGCATTTCTATGCTGCATAATCTTCACCCACATCCAGAAGGAGGTCCATTAGATTGATGAGACCATTTGACTAGAATGAGCTAACTGGCATGTTCAAGAAATCAGATCAAAATGACTTGTGTTTGTGGCATTGTGCATTATCCTGCTAGATATAGCCATAAGAAGATTTGTATTCTGTGATCATAAAACTGCCTGTGCCACTGCTTGGCAGATGTAAACCGGTTTGGGCTTTTGCTGCTGTAGCCCATCTGCTTTGAAGTTTAGAGTGTTGTGCATTTAGAGATGTTGTTCTGTATACCTCAGTTCTAACAAGTACTCATTTGAGCTTATTTCCATCGGCACAAATCAGTTTAGCAACACACCTCTAAACGTTGCCATTAACAACGCATTTTCACTCAGATAATTTTGGAATACTTGTTTTAAATTCAGCAGATTGTCTCACTTAAAGTGAATAAGAGTACATTTTAAAACCATTCTTTGTCACTTTGTCATTGAGATTGTTGACCATTATGACCATTAACATTCTCAAATCATAACAGTATAGACTCTTTGGCAAATTTAAACGAAATGTCACACTATGTGGTAGGCAATGCCCAAAGCAATGGCATGTATTATTCATGGGATTTTCAGTCCTGATAGTAATGAAAGGTCATTAAAGTCCACACAACAGCAGCGTAATGGATGAGTGGAAAAATGCTGACAGGTGCTTTCTAGCGCCTCACCATCAAAAAGGGGTTTGACAAGGGCATATCATGGAAGAGCCAACAGGGTTAATTATTTTAAGTGGTACATTATTGAATTAAAGTTTATTATATAAGAAGGAAGAAGAGATCTTGCCTGCACAATATGCGTGATCAAAATGTAAACACATCACAGTACACTATACACGTTGCACTTGTTTATGAGTAGAGAGATTTAGTTTGTTATGATGGATTCAACTGAACTTAAAATATAAATTATTTTAATGCTAATGGTAGGTGCCAACTGATTGGATATAAACAGAACAGCAAGAACCTATCAAATTGGTTAAAATCAGCCCTGAGGCCACAACAAGCCCTTGCAATGCTCTTACGCTTCTATTTTTGCTGCCTAGACCCTGCTCCAGAAGTGCTACAGTGACACTTCACCACAGCCTGAAGGCATACACATCTTATTACAATAGCTCTTCCTCTTGATTGCAGTGCAGTGTTGCCCTCCTTTTATACTCACTGTTCGCATTTTTCCACATACAACGGGCCCAGGTGGTCTACAGATTGTCACAACTATGTTTCAGCATGGTGTCTGTATTTTTCTATTTTCAACAGGGGGTCATCACATGTTCACTCACTTATCTTAAACAACAAGGCACCATGTGTGTGTGTGCGGGAGTGTGTGCTTGTGTGCGGGAGTGTGTGCGCGGGGTTGGAATCTCCTTTTCTTTGGAATCTGCCGAGCTGTGGTTCTAAAGGCGATTACAACGTTAGAAAATAGGAAAAATTCACGCACCTTTTGATGTTATTGTTATTTGTCATTAGTATTTTGGGTGTCTAATATTCTATTGAGAAATTACAGCAATCACGGGTATAGACCTATATACCAATGAATTACTGTTTTGCTATTCAACATCGTTTCTCAACTATAAGAAAAATACAACTTTAATAACATGACATCCATTACATGTTACTTGTTAGACGCTTTTATCCAGAGCGTCTTACATACTCAATACTGTGGGCAATCCCCACAGGAGTAATTTGGGGTGAAGTGTCTTGCCCAGGGACACAACGACATGCTGACTACAGTGGGGTTTGAACCTGTGCTTCCCTGATCCGAACACCAACGCTCTATCCACTCTATCCTCTGCGCCACATGCCTCCTGTTCATCCGTGTTCATATACATGGAGCTGAGTTGACACTTGGTTGACACCCCAACTAATTGAATGGATTGATTGTGATATTGCTAACATTATCTCTAATGACAACAGATGATGGGATCCAATCCGTTAAAGCAACTCTGATATTTGAAATAACTAAGCCACTAAATGTTCTACATTTATCAACTCCCATGTTTGTATCTCTCCTGTCCCTTTGGATTAGAGTCAGAAAATGTACAAAAAAGGTTAAACTCTCCTTTTCATCCCTCACTTGGGCAACACGGCATCAAAGAGATCAAAGAGATCAAAGAATAGGAAATTGCACAATGTCAAAATCACATTTTGTTGCATGAAGCAACATGGCATTGAAAACAGCTTGAAGATTAGTGGGGGGAAAAACCTGGCAAATCCAGACATCTCAAGTTCATACAGTACTTAACACCCAATAGAAATACACACTCACAGGGTAATACTGTATGAACGCATAAACCTTAACTCTTATAAACTCCCACTTACACACTTGTACCATCCCATTGATGTTAAGCTTGTCAACAAGTTGCCCTTGTAGATTCAAAACATGAGAAATCATTATGACGCAAATCAAATCAATTATGTTCCTACAGTTCAAACTTTGCTGATAGGCCTTGAAAGAATCGTAACTGTGGCTGCTTCTGAATACAGTACATAATCAACAGTGGAAAAAACAAATTAATTATGTTCTGTTTGTATATCCTTATCTCCCAAATTGCTCACCGTTGTGTGTTCAACATTAGCAGTGACTGGCTAAAAAATCTATGCGTCATGATCCACAGAATAATATATAGACGTTTTCCATAAATGCTTCTTTTGCTTCCTCTAATTCACAGAGAATGAGAAGTTTCAGTGAGTTAGAGGGGCTGGCTCCACATGCCCTGCACACTTAGACCTTCCACCTCAGACAATATCTGTAATCTGCATAACAATGTAATCATAATCCGCCTGATTTTCTCCTCCTTTGATCCCCTTGAGTAACAATTGCAGCAAAACCAAATCTGCCTCTGATTGTTTTGGCAAAGCACTGGCTATTTAATCAGGTGAAGTGAGTGACGACCGCATTGAAGAAACCCTCCCCCCCCCTCATCCATCATTAAAGGTCCCATGTCATGGCCATTTCTACTGATCATAATTCCATTGTTGAGGTATACTAAAAATAGATTTATATTGTGCAATTTTCCAAACTCACATTGGTTTCTCATACAGCATCTCTGTATAGTATGTGTATTCACTCTCTGTCCTAAACAGCTTGTTGGAGCTCCTGCCCCCCCCTATCTATGAGCCCAGTGGCCGTCTGCGAGACAGCGAGACACAGCGAAACCCAGCCCGATCAAACACACACCGACTCACAGCCTCGCCACGTCCCACCTTCTCAGGGAGGAGAAAACGGCGGAGCTGCAGCTGAGAAAAGATTTAGTGTGTGTGTGTGAGAAAGTCCGCGGATTGGTCCATTTGGACAAATCCACGGAATTAACCTAACGGCTCCGCGGACGTAACGTAACGGCTCCACGGATTGGTTCATTTGGGTATGGGCACATCACTGTGCCCAGGAAGAAAAAGAGAAATCTCCAACGAGGCGTTCTGGGGCAGCACAGGTCTGTTCTGTGTTAGAGTTTTACTCGCTACAGGGTGTACTTTGAGGGTTTGTGACTTTGCAGACCGTTTACATGCATACAAACCTTCATAACACACAAGGGGATGGGTAATAACCGGAAAAGCATGACATGGGACCTTTAAAGCATTAATCACAAAATAATTGGATTGAAAATTAGGGAGACGTTGTGTTGTGCGTCTGCAACTGTGTTAAATGTTTTGTGTTAGTTTAGTTTTTTATGTTTCACTTCCTGTTTTATTTTGTATTCACCTTGTCTCGTTCCTGTTTCCTTTACTTCCCGCCATCGTCAGTGTCTGCCCCACCCCTGATTGTTTCCACCTGTGTCTGTCCACTTACCTTTTGTATATAGTGTCCTGTCTCCCTTTGTCTATTGCCAGATTGTCTTGTGTCTTTTGCCAAACTCTCCAGCGTTTTCCTATTCCATCTAGTTATTATTACAGTCATTGTCTGCATCTATAGTTATAGTAAGGTAAAGATCAGGTAGTTATATTTGTCTAGTATTTAGTTAGGTAAGAATTAGAGTCGATTAGTTATTGTATGTATTTTTGTTTTGTTACTGCTTTTCAAGTAAAGACTCTTTTTGTACTTGAATCCTGTGTCTGCCTTTGTGCTTTTGGGTCCTTCCTTGTCTTTGTATTCCATTAGCTTGGAGTGGATTTCTCATCACTCTCTGGCAGTGAGTGCTTTCTTTCCTTCTTTACATACCTCACACTCTCTTCCTCTCTCTCACTAACCCTGAGGGTTTTAGAAATGAAATAAGAAAGGTGGAGAGAGCAGAGACAGATGAGGAGAAGGGAGCACAAGGCGGAGAGGGAGAGGGGGGAGAGTATAAAGGAGGAGTTCGGTAAATTTGATTTACTTAATTTTGTATAGAGGGCGCTGATGTCCTCAACTGGTAAATTGACCCAGTCATTGTGATAAATAGGCTCAATTAATTCAACCAGTGTGGGACAGGGCTGAATACATGTTTCAGGAGAAACCCCCTTGTTTGCTAATATCTCAGACATAATCTTACGCTCTTCATGTTCAGATGTCACTTTGGTCAGGAAGGATAGATCAAATGGTTCACATGGAAAAACGCAGAACATATGGATATCTTTTTTTGTCATCGTAAATGAAAAAAATTACATTTCAACATATTTTCCGACATCTCCAGGTTTATTCAGAAGGGTAACGATGCCCACTTTGACTGATATGAGACTGTTAATAGGCCGGGACAGCGGTTATCACTGTTCTAGTTAAGGGTGAGAGTACAGCTAGTACTGTAGGTAGAGCAGGTTGTCCACTAATCCATAGAGGTCAAATTGCAAGGGCAAAATACTAACCCTGTATTGTTCCTGAAGGCCTAGCCTGACCTCTGGGGCCATAGGAATTATCACAGGAGCAAAGGAAGAAGATCATCGATGTAGTATCTGGATGGATGGATGGATAGATTGATTGATGGATGGATGGATGGATATGTGGATGGATATATGGATGGAAATATGGATGTATCGATGGATGAGTCACATGGGATGTAGTGACCTTGTGCATAAGTGCAGTGCTTTCAAGAATAACTTTAATAATCAGAATACCTTTATTAAGGCAGAATAAGTGAATACACCTGTAATTCTCGAAAGCATTTCACATGTATTTTCACATGTAAGTGTCCCTTTTGAACATAATTTGATTGTACCATGGAACAAAAGAAGGCATACGTTTTTAATCAAATATGCAGCTATGTGCGATTAAAGCACTCATGAACCTCTGTTGAACCATATGTTCAGTAAGTTTAAAAAAAGTCATATTCTTCAAAGCAAATTTGTAGATGCAGTTCCTGCAAAGTTGTGGAGCTATTTGCTATTGGGATTTGGAAGCATTGTGGTGCAGAAACTGAGTTGTTCGAATGCCTCTGAATGTGTGCCCAATTAAACAGTGACTGAAATATATGACAATGAGAATGTTGTACATAGAGGGTCATAAATCTGGCGCAGATTGCATAATTTCAGTTTTTTGTGCATACCCAGCCTTTTTGTCATGAATCTAACATCTTATGCATAATTTCAGGAGTCCAGCCAGGGCTTTGAATACGGTGAGCACTCAGTAAATTGCTCAAGAGTTATTACACTGGACTAATGGGATATTCTGCACATCTCCCCATTCTAACAAACCCCTTTACACATATTTTCTCGTAGTTCTCATTTTACTCAAGCTTCAGTCTATTACTTTTTCATCACTTTAAATGGATATCCCAGAATAATAGTGGCTGTGTCTATTATTAATATACTGAATCCATCATGGCAGGAAGAATAAGGGTTTGGAAACCCTGATTCTGGGAAACTTACAATGTATCTGCACATACAGCAGCTGCTTGTTTGAATGTGTGACTGATAAGGACCCTAACCATAGCGAGAAGTGTATATTGTACATTTAGAATCCACGTCCAGTGGATGTGTAGGATCTATAGTTTGATAGATATTACGAAGATTATTTGAGGTCTCGCCAGGAGAATGTGTATATACTACGTCTTTCCCCATTCATTTCTATTGACGGCAGCGTCCATGTAAAGTTGGCGTCAACCCTCACGGGGTGAAAACAGTATTTCCGGTCTCAAAATGTTCATATTAAAACCGGAAGCATTCCCCTCACTGTCAAATGATTTTACAGTGATCTGCCGTAATCATCCACTAAAAAACATCAGTTTATCCTTGTTGAGTACACAACATTGATTGGTTTAAATTTTGTACAATGCTTTTGTGTTTTTAACCTTCGATTCGGAGAAATAAATAGTTTTTTGGGAGTTTAGGATGGCCGAAGACACTACACTACCCATAATCCTCAGCTATCGTTTGGGACTACAACATGCGCTTTGCTTGACAAACCCCGTGATTATCCCTCAAGCTCTGTGATTGGATGTTGGAGTGAGAGTGCGCCAAGGTTACACCGAGCTTCAAACAGCACTGGAATGAAACCACGGCAGACTGTCCAAAACTGTATTCGAATGGGTCCAACCCCAACCCCCCAGAACTACACATGCTGGCTAATTGTGTTTCGCAGCATGTTCTATAGCACGTCTCTACTTGGAATTGTAGTTTTAAAAGACGTTTTTGTATTTCCCATAATTAGAAGTTGCCAATATTAAACTGTGTACACCCCTGGAGGTTTAGGGGATAGGAAACACTCACATTTAAAACATATAATTAATAAATGGGTGAAAATTGCTTGTGTCCATAATGGGCAGCATTAATATATACCCACATGACAGCTAAGGTCTGAAGAGCTTTATAGCTGGTCTTATATCTGTGACCCCTCCTGTTGTTCATTGATAAGCCTGAAACATGGACTTGTCAAGGTTCAGAGGCACATTTTGAAAAAAAATGGCAGTAGCCATCGATCATCTTAAAATAAGATAAGATATACTTTATTGATCCCAAGTAGGGAAATGTTTTTGTTACAGCAGCATGTACAACATGCAATTTATTGTTACTTTGTAATTCTACTCCACTACAATTCAGAGGTTAACCTGGTATTTTTATATCAGTGACTTTGCAGATTCTGATTAATGATGTGAAATATATAAAACATTTAAAGCAGACTTTAGTTACACCTGAGTCAAATTCAGGGAAGGTGATTGTGAAGTGCCAAAATAAACTATGCAATATATTAGACGTTGAGTACTTTGTCAGGTTTAATATGTATCTCTAGATACCCTCTTTTTTTGTTATTCAAAAGAAGACCTTAACTTAAAGTATTCTTTGGACGTCCTGCTCTAAACTGTTTTATTGTAGAGATCACTACAGTATCTTCTTGATATTTTCAAAATCCCCCTATTTTGTATGTAGGCTACTCTTAATATATAAATGTTTTCATCAAATATAACATATTCAATAAAACAATTAAATAACGTGCTTTAACCACAAGGCGGTGCGGGTTAAAAAACTGTCAAGTTTACAGTGTTAACACAATAAATGATATTTTATGAACAGCATACAATGCCATAATAACTATCTTTTATTAGTGTAGGACACTTATGTATGTATAACATCTGAAGATGTGTAGTTTTATTCATGTTTTTACATAATTGTACAGGATAATGCTATATTATTTCACATATGGTAGTTCTACACATTAATATCTGAGGTATATCCATCATTTAATGGTAAGCTATTGGAATTCTGATTCCATATATGTGTCTCCCGCCACCCAAAACCCCTGACTATTCTCTCAACTCAGTATTTACATTCTTTAATTGAAAGAAAATCAGTAATATCTTTAAAAACGACAAGTCCCTTTCTATCAGCTGTTCACCGTTATGGTGTAAATATAGCCTATCTACCAATTGGGTCAAATAAAAAAGTCAGCCGAATTAGTGTTGAT